ACTTTGCAGCAAACAGGAAAACTTCATACTTTTGATATACTTTTTCAAAATATTCTATTGAATTGTAAAATTGCATTTAAAACCTTTTCGCCAAATTATGTGGCTTGGTCAACCATTTAACTGTATAAGTAAACAAACATCACTTCTAAATAGCAAAGATATTTAAATTTTAGAAGAAATTTTTTTTATTAATAATACTTTATTGTAAGCGATTTAAAAACCCTCTTTCACTTGCAATTTCCATTCATATCTTGATACGATATATCCCGGTAGGCTTGAGATAAAAGATACTACAGAGTCTGACACATCTGTTTCATATTTAGATATTTTACTTGAAAAGACATTAATGGTAATCTAACAACCAAGCTCTATAAACGTCATGTCATGTCATGACTTTAATTTAACTTTACAATCGTCAACTTCCCTAATTATATTATATTAAATTATTATAATTATATATTTTTCAAACAGTTCAAAAATTTATATGAGATTCTGGCAGATTTAATTAATTTTTACAGCCTAACACTTAAACTCTAGATACTAGTTGTTATATATTTATCATGTGTAAAGAATGTGTGATTTAAACAAACATGTTTGTACATCAATATTTTTTTACCCTTTCCTCCTATGTAAAGACATTGACAATTGTAGCATTTTATGGTGAGAACCTCGTAAGTTGATTGAAATTGTGTTCAAACCATTTGTATAGTATTTATTCAATAAAATATATACAAACCGCCATTATATCTTCAACATCTGCATACGGAGTTATATATCTCAGTTGATTCGATACGCAAGAGCATGCTCTACGTATGAACAATTTCTGAAACGGGGGAATCATAAATTATTGACAAACAAGTTGATAAAACAAGAATTTTTTCAGCAGTTTCGATAAAAGTCATCATTTCGTAAGTTCTGTGGTCGATACAATAACTTTGTCAGCAAATACAATTTATCATTGGGTCAAATGCTGACTGATGTTTTTCATACTAATTGTTAGTCCATTATTTATACACTGAATTGAAGATGGAGTTTTCCATTATTTCTCGATAAGGACAAGGAGCACACGGCGGGTGTGACCGGTCTTTAGGGGATGATCACTTGTCTATTGCACCTGATCCCACCTCTGATGTTTTGGAGGTCCGTGTTTGCTCTGCTCCTATTTTGTATTTTTTTTTATCGACTGTTAATCTTGAATATTGTTCGTTATATTCATATGTTTCATTGTATTATCATAATTTTCGCACACAGTAACAAGATTGTATTAATGTATAAATGGCAATTAATATGACTTAAATGGCTTCAAACAACGCTTATTTAAAGATTTACACTGGCACTTCAATATTCTGGTATTGTAGAAAAAAATGTTGTCACTAGTACACAAACAACTCATTTGAATATTTAAGCTTGTAGATGGACTAATTCTGATAGATCTTTTACGATATGAAATTTTTGTGTAATAAAAATACTTTTGGTGATGAATTTCATTATGTAATGTAATGTCCATATTTTTCGTCATTGTGTGTAAACCTTATTGATAAGAAGTATTGTTCACATGTAAATACTACTAAGTTTGAGAAAACTACTACTAAGTTTGAGAAAATTATGTCCATCACAAATGTTGACTCACTGTTAAAGCTGTCTTTGTTTGCTAAAAAGAAATTGGCCTGCTTTCAGTAACATTTACTTATTTGATACTTCTCTTCCTTACCTGACTTTGTATTTTGTATACATGTATATGTAAATATGTTCCTGCACCCCATTTACCATTGTATGGTCTGAGAGTAAAATAAACAAACAAATAATTTTTTTTTGACTTTTAGAACTCTGTAACCTCACAACGACCAACAAACAATGTAGGACCTACCCAGAGTCAGGTGACAAAAAATTAATATGCTAAGAAAGAACACACACACGAGGGAAAAATGGAATTGGAGGCAACTGTGATATCAAAAATTTAAATTTTCTTCAAAGAAAAAAGAATTCAAATTACTTCATTATTTAACATTTTAAAAATATTTTTTAACGCTCTTATCTAGGACGGTAATAGATGAATTGTATTTTGTTTTGGTGCTACAACTCTTATCAAAATTTAAAATCTATTAAAAAAATTGATGAGAATAAAAGAAAAATTTCCCTCTACAAATTCCTTAAACTTCGTCAAAAGTCGATTAAAATGTTATGATATTAAGAAAATATCTTTAGCGTTATTTTTGATGTTTTTAAAGTCATCTTACTATCAATTAAGGCGGCAGTCCATTTAACACAATAACTGCAATAAAAAATACTTGATTCTATACAGGAATTTGCCTTTTTATTTTCAGAAGAAACGCCGAAGATTCATTCCTTTTAAAGTAAGTACAATGTAAATAGAATATTAATATGCGGTTGATTTATAGTAGAGGAAAATTGGTATTGTATTAATAATAATTTTTTTTATTTTCAGTATCATTCAAAAATTTTCAAAGCTTCCAGAAAAGTAAGTGATACTTATGTGACGCGATATATTCGATGCTGTAAAGCAGGCATTTAAGACAGTCAATTTGAAACTAAGACAGACTGGTGACTTAAGGAATCCCTGCCTAGCTAGTATAGTATGCCAGGGCATCAACAATAGTGGGAAACATGGGATAATTTGCATAACGGGCGAAGCCCGTTATGCATAAATTATTCCATGTTTCCCACTATTGTTGATGTCTCTGGCACACTGTACTAACACTAAGTAGACAGGGATTCCTTATATTTCCATTTCATTGTGAAATAAAATTGTATAGATTTAGATTTTTGAAATGTAGACATAGATTTAAATAACACAAGGACTCCAATGCCAATTTCAATAGCCCTCCGCCACTGACAAAGGCAGCCGCATGAGATTTACATGCATATTTGGCCTCATTAGCGTCAGACACAGAGATAGATGCGCACGAGATTTGCATGATTATTAGGCCTCCTTAGCTCCTGACCTATCGACCTGCTCAATTTACATTCCGGTAGAATTATCAAGAAATCAACTCCCCTAACTTTCAAAGGGTTAGCACAGAGAAAAAAAAAATAGAAATGGAAATACATGTAAATCAATGCTACAAGGTGTTCAACAATGTTTATTGGAATGATTTTACCAGTAAATGTAACCCATCGTTAGTTTCTTTTTCCTCTATTGGTATTTCATACCATATTGTTTTAAAAGTCTTTGTTTTAAAACAAAATTTTACTGATGGGTATTCCTTTTACCTGATCAATACAAATTCATAGCACTTTTGACTTTTTTCCCCACAAAACGATATTGAAGTTTGATAGATTTCTATCACGTTACAGAAACGTCACGTGGATGATCACAGAATTAGCACAAATAGCAGCAGTTATGCGAGTTGTAAGGTAAGTAACAGAATAGGCAATCCCTTAAACTGATTCATTTTTGGTATGAATAATTAAAATAACATTGGCAAAATTAGGCAATGGCAAAGGTATGGAATTCCATACAAAGGGGTAAAAACTTGCACACTTTTGAAAAAACCTTCCCTATTTTTTTAGTAACTTCCAAAACATGAAAACAAGTAAGTGAATAGTAATGAGACATTTTTTCCATGTTTTTTTTTAATTTTTAAAATTATTTTTAGACCTATAAGAAAGACTCTGCTAGAAGCAATGCTTCTTCCCATACGTACCAGGACATAGAACAGGTAAGTTAAATACTTTTAAATCTCTAAACCAGAAGAAAATATATCTAGTGGTTTTGTACAAAGAGAGTATTCACTGTACCTAAACTTAAATCAATGATTAAGCTTTGCAATTACAGAATTAGTTATTCTAAAGCATATCGCATGAATTCGAACTATTTAAAGAGAAATATTTATTTTTCAGTGTACACCTCATATCGAACTTGAACGATGCAACAGCATTGCTACAGAAGCTTCTTTTTCCGACTGTGCAGATCGAAGGGTAAAACTTTAAATTTATTACTATAGAAGAAAACACCTTTAAAATTAAACTCTGAAGACAATTTTTATCTTTTTTTCAACCCTGCTTTTTTTTGGCTTCATTTAAATGTTTATTTTTTTAGCTTTTTGAAATATACATATCATAAATACGTTCAGAAGAAATTTAACAAAATTCATAGTATTTGAAGTTAACTATTTATCAATGATCGATGATCACGGTTTCATAAATGGAAAAAAAATGTAACCTAACCTTAACTTAATATCAAACTCAATGTATTCGAAGCCATCTTATCAACAATTTATTTTAGACTCTGGGTACTGAAGTTCCTGGGATTCGGAAAGCGAGTGCAAACAATCATCCAATAATACAATACCAGGTATGCATTTATCACATATATTTGTAGTGGGGAAATTTCGGAATTTCTTCTAGAGAACAGATTCTAATAATTTTAAACCGAAAAAACATTTTTGATTTTTTTTTATTTTAAGATGGAACTTCCTAAGAAGACAGGTCGACATGCAAAGAAATATATGGTCATGTTCTGCATGATCTTGGTTTGTGCTATTTTATCAGCAGCCATTGCAAGTCTTTTCAGCACAAGAAGTTTAAGAGAGAGCCTTCCTTCTGATGTAGATGAACAGTTGAGTGGCGGGCAGTTCCTGCAGCAGGTTCTGCCTAATGTTAGCAACGAGAACGTTATGAATCGTATCCGTGGTTTACAAAATGGTAAAATAAAATACATGCATAATAAACATCACGAGGATTGAAATACTTTTTTTATTAAATGCAGAAAAGAATCTTAATTTGTAATATACAAAAAAAAACAACATCTATTTATATATACAGGGACAAAAAATGTATACAATTATGAAATACTTTACATTAATAAAATGTGTATTGGTATCAAAATATATACACACTTTTCTACAGTAAACCTTTTTTTTTCAAGCTTATATAAACAAACATAACAGCACTTAGTTAAAAAAAGAATGAGATGAAAATTAAAGAATTTTAACAATAAATTTACAGATGATATATATTTTTCTCATATCATTAAATTAGAAGTTCAGATCTTTGCTAACGACACAAAAATTACCAACAAAAACAACTTTGAGAAGTTACCAAGTAAAAAAGGTAAGAACAATGTAAGCTCATTGGGAGCCATTGCAGTACTTAACAAATAAGATAAGGGATTACTTAATTTAAGAATGTTTACCCAATCACCAGTATTTATTTAAAGTTTAGATTAAAGCATTTCTTTGTGATCAATTTGCATCATCTCCTTTTTAATATAACTTAAATGTATTATTTTTCTTTATTTTTAATTTATGAAAATAGATATGGAAGATTTTTCAAATAAGACAAAGATGGGCATCGACTTACTTCTGCGTACTTTGCCAAACAAAACAGGTAAACATGTATAGAAGCTTTCCCCCGTCAAATATCACAAGTGTAAAACTAACCACTCTAAATATTTGCAGATTTTGATATCTGGAAAGAAGAAAGCAAGAAAAATTCTTACAGAGTAATTCATGCAATGAGTAAGTTGAAATATTTAAATTTGTAAATAAAGAAAACTTATTTTAAGAGTTTACAAAGATTAGTATTGTAAAAGGTTACGTCTCGTAGAGATATCCCTTTTTATCGTTTTATAGAAAAGTAGATGTATCATTATAATTAATCAATTAATTGTTATCCATCAACAAAGCTTTCTGATAAACGTGATGACTTTAACATTTCAATCGTCAACTTCCCTCATGTATACAGCATTATACATTGTACCTTTATTACCTGTATACACGGTTTGTATCTCTCAGTTGATTCGATACGCAAGAGTATTCTCTGCGTAAGAACAATTTCTCAAAACGAGGTTAGTTATTGACAAACAAACTGATGAAACAACAATATTGTTTTAGGTCATCGTAATGATGACCTAAAACAATATTCTTGTTTCATTCTTAGTTCTATGGTCGATACAATGACCTTGCCAGCAAATAATTATTATCAAGTCAAATACTGACTGACATTTTACATACTAAAGGACTTTTGCGAGACACTGACTTATACAGTTGACGGCTTACTTGTTAGGCCATTATTTACACACGGAATTGACGAAAGATTTTCCCGTTATTTTCCGATCATGACAAGAAGCACTCGGCGGTTTGACCGGTCGGCAGGGGATGCTTTCTTCTTTATGAGAGCTGATCCCACCTCTTGTGTTTTTGACGTCCGTGTTTGCTGTTCTGCTTCAAAATTTGTGTATTGATTAAAAGATTGTTTTAGTTTGAATGCTGTTTGTTATCTCCGTATTTTTCAGTATGTTGAAATGCATTCTACCAATTGATTAATAGTTCAATTTTACAATCCAGTGTCTCTTTGTCAGGGTGTAAAAGAGACTGTCTTAATCGAGCTGATGGGGACTACCAGTCTTGTTACACGTGTGAGGGATTTATTACATGTTCAAACGGTAAACTGGAAAATCGGGACTGTGCTCAATCCTATACAAACAGGACACTATACTGGGATGATTTTATAAGACGATGTCTTTTCAGTTCGCTCACCTGTGATCCATTGTATATACATGTATTACCTGACGAAGAAAATAATTCAACTTCAACTCCATAAATCGTCACAGAAATTTTTTTTAAAATTCCTTTGAGAATTTAATTCAGTGACTTGCATTTGTTAATTCTGTGAATAAGATTTTTTCAACTTCATCCTTTGCCTGGATCACAGGGTTGTTTAACACTTTTATTGTATTTTTAAAAACATATAGAAGAAAATTATAATTTTGTAATGTGTTGTTCAACAGGAATATACTGGTTAAAATTGAATATATATTAATTATCAGCCATTCAATGTATTGACTATCTAATTCATATAGAGAAACTTTGGTACGCAAGAAACAGAATTTCTATATACTCTTTAAAATAATATATTATTATAGTATTTATTCTACATAATAAAAGGCAGAAATTAGTTGCTTTGTGTCATTTTCATATATCAATATACCTTGAAGTTTTTAAAAATATCATTTTATACTTCTTCAAAGTGAAATTCAAAAACATTTAAATGGAGCATTCCAGAAAATTGACAAAGGTTTTCAAAGGTTTCTCTTAATGTCTTAAATGGATGGAAAACTTGTAAAACTAAATATTATAGTCTTACTTTGTCATTGGTCATTTGCAAAATAATCTGGTTCAAAAACTATAAGTACACCAAAGTTGATATTAAAGATGTTTGATATTCTGATTGACAATGTCTATTTAAAAGTTTCTATGGTTCGTATATTATCTATCTATCAGAATTCCTTTCGCTATTATTGCACCTAGTTATTAGCATGTATTCATATAAAGCAAAATTTATGAAAAGTTTCTACTGGAAAAGAAGTAAACTAGTGCAATAGACTTTAAGCCAACATTCATTTAAGAAGGACGTTTTATCGTAAACAATATTCATTTTCATTCATACGTTGATTCCACTTTTCTACTTTCTACTGGAAATAAAAGATACCACAGAGTGTGATACATATGTTTCCTATTTGGAAATTTTACGAGAAAAAGTTTTTAATGTTTACTTTACAACAAAACATTATGATAAACATTATGAATTGAACATCTTCCATCGTCAACTGAGCTTTTCTCACGACAAAATACACATACCACCTTAATAGGAGTAAGGAGTTCATGTCTTTCTGTTCATTCGATACACAAGATAATACTCTACATACAAACTTTTCCTAAAACAGGCAAGTTAATTACAAAAAAATATCATTGAAACAATTAGTACCAAAAGTCTCGTTTTGAATTAAAATGTTGCAAATTCTATCGGCGATGCATGACCTTGTAACCAAATACAATAATTGGACCAAATGCTGACTGACTTTTTTCATATGAATTATAAGGAATGATACGGAGACAAAAACAGTATTCAATATCAAAGTCCATAAAACAATACAAAAAAGGACCAGAGCAAACAGAGCAAAACGGACCTCCAAGACATCAGAGGTGGAATCAGGTGCCATGGAGGAGTGAGCATCCCCTGCCGATCGTTCACACCCGCCATGTACTCCTTGTCATGATCGGGAACTAACGGAAGAATTCGTCGTCAATTCAGTGAATAAATAATGGAGTAAGAATTGGTATGAAAAACGTCAGTCAGCATTTGAATCAATGATAAATTGTATTTGCTGACAAGGTCATTGCATCGACCCTGGAACTTACGAAATGATGACTTTAAACGAGACTGCTGATATTCCTGTTTCATCAACTTGTTTGTCAATAATTTACCTTGGTTTAGAAATTGTTTATAGGTAGAGCATGCGTATCGAAGCAACTGAGAGATATAAACCCCGTATGCAGGTGATGAAGGTATATTGCTGCATAAGTAAGGGAAGTTGACGATAGAACAGTTAAAGTCATCACGTTTATCATAGAGCTTGGTTGTTAGATTACCATTAACGTCTTTTTCAAGTAAAATATCCAAGTATGAAACAGATGTGTAAGACTCTGTGGTATCTTTCATCTCAAGTTCAGCAGTATATAAAGTATCGACATAAGAATGGAAATTACCATTGTTAATTAACAATACGTCGTCGATATATCGATATATCGTTGAAAGCCACAGCAAGTGTTGTCCTCTTTTCACGCATAAGATTTCGCACAAATCTGCGTCATGAAATACAATGAGTATTGTAATCTTTAAACAAGAGGCCCAGGGGCCACATCGCTCATCTGAGCATATCGACTAGGAAAAAGCACAAATCATGCAGATCATAACTGAAAAGTTTACTAAAGGGGGAGGGGGGGGGGGCTTGAATTTTAATACTACTTGAGAATGCCTTCATATAAATACATCATATAGCTTTGCTTTTCTTGATAAAAAGATTTTTTAAAAACATTTTCTTCCTATATACATGTATAACTTCATAATAATTTGAATTTGATTCCCCATTGTTTCCGTCCCAACCCCCAAGGGCCATGATTTGAATAATTTAAATCTTCAATACATGAGGTGTCTTACATATCAATATGACTAAACAAAGCTTTTTTGTTCTTGGGATTTTCCCCTTAAATTGGCTTTATTTTTCTACACTACCCGAAAATGCTTCCATATAAATACTACTATCACTAATCATGGCTTTGCTATTCTTTAGAGAAAGACTTTTAAAAATATATTTTAATGTAAAATTTGGATCCCCAATTGTGACCACATCCAATCCCCGGGTGTTATGATTTGAACAAACTTGAATCTACACTACATGAGGATGATTCCATATAAATATCACTAATCATGGCTTTGAAGTACTTGAGAAGACGATTTTAAAAGATTTCCCTATATACTCCTATGTAAAACTTTAATCAGCCATTTTGGCCCCACCCTACCCCCTGGGGGTCATAATTTGAACAAATTTGAATCTACACTACCTGAGGATGATTCCACTTGAGTTTCATCTTTCCTGGCCAAGTGGTTCTTGAGAAGAAGATTTCTAAAGATTTTTCCTATAATTATTCCTATGTAAAACTTTGATCAGCCATTGTAGCCCCACCCTACCCCCAGGGGTCATGATTTGAACAAACTTGAATCTACATTGCGTAAAGATGATTCCACATGAGTTTCATCTTTCCTGGCCCAGTGGTTCTTGAGAAGAAGATTTTTAAAGATTTTCCCTATATAGTCCTATGTAAAACGTTGATCGGCCATTTTGGCCCCATCCTACCACTGGGGGTCATGATTTGAAAAAATTTGAATCTATACTACTGAGGATGCTCCCATATGAGTTTCACCTTTCTTGGCCCGGTGGTTCTTGAGAAGATTTTTTAAAAATGCCATTAATTTTTCACCAATTTATAATTATCTCCCCTTGGAAGAGGGTGTGGCCCTTCATTTGAACAACCTTGAATCCCCTTCACCTAAGGATACTTTGTGGCAAGTTTGGTTAAAATTGGTCCAGTGGTTCTTGAAAAGAATATGAAAATGTGAAAAGTTTACGACGACGACAACGCCAACGACGACAACAGACAACGGACAAATTTTGATCAGAAAAGTTCACTTGAGCCTTCGGCTCAGGTGAGCTAAAAAAGGAGGAATGTTCATGTATAAGTGCTCCTTGTAAATCTGTTTGTGAGTCTTTGGTACGATTGTGTCAAACCATACCTTTAAAACGGAGAAATCTTGAAAGGTAAATCCAGACACAAATTATGTTTTGACCCATAGAATGAAAATAGAACTTGAAGAAAATTTCATTATTAATTTTATTTTGCCTAGAATTTTATTGTTTGTTTTCTCTTATGTTCGTGTTACGGTTTGTCAGCAGTGAATAGGTTGTGGCAATATCTGAGCAAGTGTTAAGACAATATATGATTTTGCACTCATGCAGACTTAAGCTTCACGCAACACTTTGGTTTTCCAACAAATCTTACTCAGTCAACAATTGTTTACTTTAGCCTCGATAAAAAAATCTAAAAATTGTGCAAAACTCATAATATGCCTTCTAAATTTTAGTTACAGTTAATAAAAATATACTACTACAAGCTGATTTAAAGGATCAAGAGATATACTTAAAATAATAATTGAGTGTAACTTTGAAAAAGGATTCGATTATTTTCATTGATGTACAATTGCCAATGCAAATATATTTTGATAAAATAACTAATCTGTGGAACTTCTCATTCTTTAACATTTCCGTGTACTTATTTTCATAAAATGAGGGCGATATCATTAATTTTGATATAGTAATTTTTCTCTTTTTAAATTTAGTCTGGTACAATTACTCAACAGAAAATTTGTAATGGACATACTTAAGGGCAGGTGAGTAGTTTTCAGATGTAATCAATAATGCTTCTATCCAAAATAAAGTTACAGTCAACAATATTATACTTGTTTGTGTCTTTCAATGTAAACTTGCATCAAGATACACAATTATACAGATAGTTTTAATTTTATTAATGCACGAGGGTTGTTCGAAAAGTTCGTGGACGATGTCAATCTTCGTTATATTACTCACTAGAAATTTAAAATAAGCACGATACAATATGTAAAAATATATGTTTTGTTGACGTGTGAAGTTTCATTGCATTCTATTTCACAGAAATCAATTTATTTCATTTTAAATTCAACATGTTTTGTACCCGCGGTGCACAGTTAACGGCAATGTAACGACAAAACATAGCGTCAAGATTTCTTAAAAAATACTTTCCTTATACATCTCACCGAGTATTATCCAATAACCACTCATTAAAAACCTTTTTCTAATACTTGACATTCTTTTTTTTTTTTACAGTTGTTCTCGATGTATAATTTCCTTTGTAAAGGTTTTAATTTCTTTGATTACTAAACTCGGTTTTCACAGGATAAGCAACTCTGAAGCGCGTATGTCTTTCCTTGACGTTCCAACTTTTTCAAGTTTTTGTTCAGAATTTTACAGTTAAACCGTTTCTTCACAGATTGTCCTCATTCGATACAGAGTCTCTGTAACTCAAATACTGTCTGTATTATTTGTCCACACAAGCAAAAATTGCTTGAAACATAATGTTTTATTCCTCACATATTAAAAGTTTATTCGAGATTTTTCCTAAGTAAAACACAAAATTGCATCGTTGTCTGGTGTTC